GCCAATGACTGCTATATGTGCCAATCTGGCAGCAGAAAATTGTTTCCAGATTGACCATTTTTTTTGTCTGTTGCTACCCATTCTTATTTTTTTTTTTCCACGGCTTTGCTGCGCCAAAATTTATTTTCACTTTTGTACACATTTATATCCTTAAATATCCTGCATTTCATGTTGCAGAGTATTCACTTTCATCCGGTCTTGTGCAAAATCAGTGATTTTCAGTTCATACCAGGCCAAGTTATTGATTTTCAAAATCCTTCTCCCCTTCCTCCTTTTGAAATCAATTGGTCTTTCCCTTACTGAAAGCTAATGAAAGGGAGTTATCTGAATTTATGGTCTGAGAAAAGTATGATCATAAACATCATTACCGTAAAAACTAGGATTATATTGGTACAGCATGGTTTACTAACTGACTGAATTGTGTCGAAATTCTTAAAGAAAATGATTATATACATTCTTGGCGCAATATAGCCTTTTTGTGCTGATGCGGCGTAAAGCTATCAACAATCAATCAATCAATACATTCTTTATATTCCTGTTCCAAGTCAGGATCGTGCCGGTATTTAAGTGGTTGTCGTTGTTTCAAGTCGGTCAATTTTTTTTTTGGCAAATTGTTTTGTTATACGTTATGCTGTTAGTTATCTCAAATGAATTGTTTCAAATTTTTTTATATCCGAGCCTTTTATAGCCGACCATACGGTATGGATTTTTCCCATTGTTGAAGACCGTACGGTTGCCAATAACTGCTTACTGTCGCATCTCCTTATTTTTATATTATACAAGTATTACATGAAATTCACATCATCAATCTTCCATGCAAATGAGGTAAGGTCAGATGAACTCGACGACAAAGACATGTACACTTTGCTACCATCCCATACACCAAATATTTTTGACCCACTACTTATAGTATCTGAGATAAGACCACTAAAATTTAACCTTGTTCACTGATCCATTGAATGAGGTCAAGGTCAGAAGAACCATGTATGACCGACATGTAGACCTTACAAGGATACCAAAAATTAGTAACCAAATATAGTTATCCTAGAACTCGTGAAAAAAAAGATGCGAAAAATACAAAAGGGACATTCAAATTCACAAGTGAGACATTCACATGACGAAAAAAAGCTATACAGTTTTTTAGCAGTCACTAAACTATGAAAATGAGGTCAAGGAAAATAATTGTATGACAGACGTGAACTTGGACGTAGCACAATAGATATATATGCAAAGTATGATACTCCAATTCCTCTACCCTCTGATATATGAAGGTATACAAATAGTTATCGGTGTTGCCACCTCCACCATCAGAATATATGCTGTATGCCTCGCATTTTGCGCCTTGCTTCGAATGCAATTTAAAAAAGAACAACTGAAATTAGCTCTCTAACTTAAACTGCCTGGTCGATGGGCTTCCAACTTAACAGAAGACAATGAAACGTAATAGTTACTGCTAGCCTAGGCAATTTTTCTATGTTTCAATCTGATAAAATTCTGATCTATATTAACTCAATTGCTTGTATATATAAGCTAATATGCGGATAACGAAATCAGAGATCTATATATTAGATTGATGTTGTTACAACCCTCTTTTTGTAGATAAACTTCATGTCAATTGTAGGCCAATTTATTCTCAATAAGGCATATAAGTTTGTAAGATAAAGTGTTTAACCTGTTTCTAATTGTCATTTTGTTTTCATAACTTTGACGGACAACCCTCCCCCCTTTTCACAGTTTGCATTCTTTCTTATTTCTATAGAGCAAAGATATACTCAGACCTGCTAATTCAATCCATTATACGTTAATATTACACCAGTTTTGGAACTAAGTACAATTGTATGTGCTTCCACACTCATCAAAAGAAAACTGGATTTTTTTCCAGAAAATCATTACGAACACCTTCTATCAAAAGACGGAAAAATTACATTTTGGAAGGGCAAGTTATAAATGTTAATATCTAAAAAACATCTCTAGAGATCACTTATATCGAATCTTGTGAAAAAATTCCAAATTTGGACATTTTAAAAGGTCAAGGTCACGGTTGTTTAACAGGTGAATGAAAATTGTAAATATGCACCCTATAAGTACAAATGTCAATCTCGAACCCTATTTGGCAACATAAATATCAAATTAGTCCTAGATATAGAAACTATAGTTATAATCCTTTGAAATATTCGAATTTATTTTGTTATAAAAGCATATATGTAAGGGCGACCAGCTGTCTAAATGTGACTCTGCGTTTTCCTTGAAATTTGAGCTTGGACCTTTGATCCAAATTTTAAAAAATCGTGACCACTGTAGACAACGAAGACATCAATATTTTGATGAGGCTTGTTCTCCTCTTTCCAATGATATCAATACAGCTGTGTGTTATTCTGTTAACCCAAATCGATAAAATTTGTTGACTGGGCACCCTACTAATACAGCTTAATAGGAATATAATAAAATACATCAAATTTCAATACACACATACATTTATAAAAATTAATAGATATCGAATAATAATGATATACAATTGTTTAATAATAGTAGCGTAGCATGACACACAACAACTATGAATACGAAGTTGTACTTAGGTGAAATTAAAAAAATCTAGAATTTAAGATTGATAATATAAGTTGGAAGAGCATTAGTTAAGGAACTAAATAAGCTATAAATATTGATAGGTTATTGGGCTCCTTATTGAGATACTTGGATTTTTAAAAAATGGCGGGAAAAGGCTGACTCTGACTTTTACCTTATATTTTCATTGGTATTATTTGGGTCTCAAATCAAAAGAAAAGAAATCTAGAATCTGCTTAAATTTTGGTAAATGACCTATTATGAGCTATTGAAGTCTTATATGAAAAGAAAAAATGGGTGTTATGGGGCAAAATATTATACCCTGTATCGATGGGAAAAAACCAAGGAGTCTGAACATCTGACACAAATTCCTAAACCTCACCTAAGTACATCCTTAGAAGAAAATAGTGATCAATTGGTAAGAAAAAGTATACACAGGTTCAAATCAAAATCTAAATGCAGGTTCTGACATTTATAAGTATTAATTAAATTTATTTATTAGACTACTTCAGTCAGTCTTTAGAAATATGTACAAAAAATTATCAGACTTCAAGGACTTTAGTTTTTTTCTGTTTTTGGTTATAATGTCAATGAAGCATTTTAGTGGTTTTGTTTAGTCCTTCTGTTGTGACGGTTATATACTTGTTATCTACCTATACCTAAGTTTGACAGATAGTGTATGTATAAGATATAAAATATTATAACATTTTTAGTTATATTTCATTGTACACTATAACATGTCCACATTGTATGGTCACTAGTTTCCTTTGTGTGAGATTATAATGTATCCCATTACAAATTGAAGTTAATTGAAATGTATTCACTGGTTGAGATGACACATGTTGTACTGATCCATCAATACACGTCACATACAGACTGCCAACTTGTAGTGTAGTCATCTTCACAGGTTTGTATTGTTTACCATCAGATGACACATGTTGTACTGATCCATCAATACACTTCACATACAGACTTCCATCTCTTAGTGTAGTCATACTCTCAGGTGGTGATGGTAATTTTAGGGTATGATGTCTGTCATTAGTATAACTGTACCAGTACAGCTTGTAGGAGTAGGAATCCCAGTAGAATATTCTGTCACCAGATACATGTAAACTGTAAGGATAAAAGTCAGTCTGTATTGTCTGTACCACCTCTCCTGTCTGATGATCTATGATCTGTAGTCTGTTGTTCCCACCTACAACTAACTTGTTCTTTATAGTTGTAATGCAGGAACTACGTCCAGGTACTGATATTGAATTAAGTTTGAGTTGATTGTTTATGTCATACATCTCTATACACTTACTACCTAGCACTGTAACAGCTACTGTAGAGATGTTGACTGTTGTAACACACCACAGTTGACCCTGTAAATTTATACTGTCTATCTGTGATCCATCTGTATAATAGATCAGTAGTCTGCTCTGCAAAGGTAAACATATCACCAGTATACCATCATCCATCATCACTATATCTGTTATTAATTCTAGCCTGCAGTCATCATCAACTATTGATGTCAGGTCTATCTGATGATGAAGTGTGAATAACAATTGTCCAAGATTTGGTTGTGCTGGTTGATCTGGTTGTTGTTTACTTTTAAATAGTCTGAGAAGAGATGATAAACCTCCTAAAAGAGTAAAACATTTAAGTTTTAACAAATCTTAAACAGTTTTTGTGGAGCCTGGGACTTTTGTCGCAGAAAAAAGTCGCAGAAAGCTCGACATAGGGATAGTGATCCGGCGGCGTTAGCTAACTTCTTAAAAGCTTTATATTTTAGAAGCTAGAAGACCTGGATGCTTCATACTTTGTATATAGATGCCTTATGTTACGAAGTTTCCGTCTGTCATATGTCCAATGTCCTTGACCTCATTTTCATGGTTCAGTGACTACTTAAAAAAAAGTCAACATTTTTTGTAATGTTAATTTTTTTCTTATTATGAGTAATAGGATAACTATATTTAGTATGTGCGTACCTTGCAAGGTCCTCATGCCCGTCAGACAATTTTCATTTGACCTCGACCTCATTTCATGGATCAGTTAACCAGGTTAAGTTTTCGTGGTCAAGTCCATATATCAGATACTATAAGCAGTAGGTCTACTATATTTGGTATATGGAATGATTGTAAGGTGTACATGTCCAACTGGTAGGTGTCATCTGACCTTGACCTCATTTTCATGGTTCAGTGGTCAAGGTAAGTTTTTGAGTTTTGGTCTTTTTTTCTAATACTATACGCAATAGGTCAACTATAAATGGTGTATGGAATGATTGTAAGGTGTACATGTCTAGCTGGCAGGTGTCATCTGACCTTGACCTCATTTTCATGGTTCAGTGGTCAAAGTTAAGTTTTTGAGTTTTGGTCTTTTTTCTCATACTATATGTAATAGTTCAACTATATTTGGTGTATGGAAATATTTTTATGATCTATATGTCAGTCACACAGGTTTTATTTGACCTTGACCTCATTTTCAAGGTTCATTGCTCAGTGTTAAGTTTTTGTGTTTTGGTCTGTTTTTCTTATACTGTATGCAATAGGTCTACTATATTTGGTGTATGAAATGATTGTAAGGTGTACATGTCTAGCTGGCAGGTGTCATCTGACCTTGACCTCATTTTCATGGATCAGTGGTCAAAGTTAAGTTTTTGAGTTTTGGTCTTTTTTTCTAATACTATATGCAATAGTTCAACTATATTTGGTGTATGGAGATATTTTATGATCTATATGTCAGTCACGCAGGTTTTATTTGACCTTGACCTCATTTTCAAGGTTCATTGCTCAGTGTTAAGTTTTTGTGTTTTGGTCTGTTTTTTGTCGAGCCTGCGACTTTTGTAGCAGAAAGCTCGACATAGGGATAGCGATCCGGCGGCGGCGGCGGCGTTAGCTAACTTCTTAAAAGCTTTATATTTTAGAAGGTGGAAGGTCTGGATGCTTCATACTTTGTATATGGATGCCTCATGTTACGAAGTTTCCGTCAGTCACATGTCCAATGTCCTTGACCTCATTTTCATGGTTCAGTGACTACTTGAAAAAAAAGTTCAGATTTTTTGTAATGTTAGATTCTCTCTTATTATAAGTAATAAGATAACTATATTTGGTATGTGCGTACATTGCAAGGTCCTCATGCCCGTCAGACAGTTTTCACTTGACCTCGACCTCATTTCATGGATCAGTGAACAAGGTTAAGTTTTCGTGGTCAAGTCCATATCTCAGATACTATAAGCAATAGGTCTAGTATATTCGGTGTATGGAAGGACTGTAAGGTGTACATGTCCAACTGGCAGGTGTCATCTGACCTTGACCTCATTTTCATGGTTCAGTGGTTATAGTTAAGTTTTTGTGTTTTGGTCTGTTTTTCTTATACTGTATGCCATAGGTCTACTATATTTGGTGTATGGAATGATTGTAAGGTGTACATGTCTAGCGGGCAGGTGTCATCTGACCTTGACCTTATTTTCATGGTTCAGTGGTCAAAGTTAAGTTTTTGAGTTTTGGTCTTTTTTTCTAATACTATGTGCAATAGTTCAACTATATTTGGTATGTGCGTACCTTGCAAGGTCCTCATGCCCGTCAGACAGTTTTCACTTGACCTTGACCTCATTTCATGGATCAATGAACAAGGTTAAGTTTTGGTGGTCAAGTCCATATCTCAGATACTATAAGCAATAGGTCTAGTATATTTGGTGTATGGAAGGACTGTAAGGTGTACATGTCCAACTGGCAGGTGTCATCTGACCTTGACCTCATTTTCATGGTTCAGTGGTTATAGTTAAGTTTTTGTGTTTTGGTCTGTTTTTCTTATACTGTATGCCATAGGTCTACTATATTTGGTGTATGGAATGATTGTAAGGTGTACATGTCTAGCGGGCAGGTGTCATCTGACCTTGACCTTATTTTCATGGTTCAGTGGTCAAAGTTAAGTTTTTGAGTTTTGGTCTTTTTTTCTAATACTATGTGCAATAGTTCAACTATATTTGGTATGTGCGTACCTTGCAAGGTCCTCATGCCCGTCAGACAGTTTTCACTTGACCTTGACCTCATTTCATGGATCAATGAACAAGGTTAAGTTTTGGTGGTCAAGTCCATATCTCAGATACTATAAGCAATAGGTCTAGTATATTTGGTGTATGGAAGGACTGTAAGGTGTACATGTCCAACTGGCAGGTGTCATCTGACCTTGACCTCATTTTCATGGTTCAGTGGTTATAGTTAAGTTTTTGTGTTTTGGTCTGTTTTTCTTATACTATATGCAATAGTTCAACTATATTTGGTGTATGGAAATATTTTATGATCTATTTGGCAGTCACGCAGGTTTTATTTGACCTTGACCTCATTTTCAAGGTTCATTGCTCAGTGTTAAGTTTTTGTGTTTTGGTCTGTTTTTCTTAAACTATAAGCAATAGGTCAACTCTATTTGTTGTATGGAAGAATTGTTAGCTGTACATGCCTGCCTAGCATGGTTCATCTGACCTTGACCTCATTTTCATGGTTCATTGGTCAATGTTTAGTTTACTTGGTTAATGTTAAGTTTATGTGACAGTTGTAATAAAGCTTTATATTTAGGACTATCAACATAATATCAATGATTAGTAAAGAAGGCGAGACATTTCAGCGTGTGCACTCTTGTCTTAAACTATAAACAATAGGTCAACTATATTTGTTGTATGGATGAATTGTTAGCTGTACATGCCTGCCTAGCATGGTTCATCTGACCTTGACCTCATTTTCATGGTTCATTGGTCAATGTTTAGTTTACTTGGTTAATGTTAAGTTTATGTGACAGTTGTAATAAAGCTTTATATTTAGGACTATCAACATAATATAAATGATTAGTAAAGAAGGCGAAATATTTCAGCGTGTGCACTCTTGTTGAGAATAAGAACAAAATTTTCAAATATTTTTTGGTTCTCAAAAAAGTTGAAAAATTATTTTTACTGAGCATTGTAGTCAATGAAAATACTTATTTTGGTAAATTATAGGTTTTGATAGACCATTGAAATTGGGTCGAGATCTCAAAAAACTACAACCATTTTTCTTTGCCTGTCCAAAGTCAGGAACTTCATCCATAGTTTTTGAAGGGTATAATTTAAGGTTTCTGTCTTGCCTGCGTCGCAGTTTGGGAGACATAGGAATTACTATCCGGCGGCGGTGGTGTAATCTATTTGTCTAAAGCTTCCGAAGGTAAAAGACCTGGATGCTTCATATCTTGTATGCAGATACCTTATGTTAAGAAGTTTCCGTCTGTCTTATGTCCAATGTCCTTGATCTCATTTTCATGGTTCAATGACTGCTTGAACAAAAATTTGAGTTCTTTTGTAATGTGAATTTCTTACTTATTATGAGTAATGGGATAACTATATTTGGTAAATGGGTTTCTTGCAAAGTCTACATGTCCGTCACACAGGATTCACCTGACCTGGACCTCATTTCATGGATCAGTGATCAAGGTTAAAGTTATGTGATTATGTCTGTTTCTCAAATACTATAAGGAGTAGGATAACTATGTGTGGTGTATGGAATGACTGTAATGGGTACGTGTCAGTCTGGCAGGTTTCATCTGACCTTGACCTTATTTTCATGGTTCATTGGTCAATGTTAAGTTTTAGTGTTTTGGTCTGTTTTTCAAGTACAATAAGCAATAGGTCAACTATATTTGGTGTATGGAATGATTATAAGGTGTACATGTCTGTCTTGTGTGTATCATCTGACCTTGACCTCATTTTCATGGTTCATTGGTCAATGTTAAGTTTTTGTGTATTTGTCTGTTTTTCAAGTACTATAAGTAATAAGTTAACTATATTTAGTGTATAAGATGATTGTAAGGTATACATGTCATTCTAGCCAGTGTCATATGACCTTGACCTCATTTTCATGGTTCATTAGTCAGTGATACATTTTCATAATTTTGTCAGTCTATCAGATACTATAAGCAACATGTCAACTATATTTGGTGTATTGAATGATTATAAGTTGTACATGTCTGTCTTGCCTGGTTCATCTGACTGTGACCTCATTATCATAGAACATTGATAGTGTTATTTTTATGTGATACTTGTGGTAAAACCTTCATGTTACAGACTTTCAACATAAATTCAATGATAAGTAAAACAGGCAAGACATTTCAGCGTGGCACTCTTGTTTGTTTTTTGAAGAATTGTGTGTTAATTGCAGATCTTTAATCTTAACTAGTCTTATGGACTCCAGGAAATTTAAAGCTAGGAAATTTGAATAGACATTGGTCTATTGTCGAAGACTAAATGTCAACAAACTTCCACAAGCCTGGGATTTTTATGCACCACCTAAGGGCATTATGTTTTTGGTATGTGCATCAGTTCCTTCGTCCGTCCATTGTCTGCCTGTCCCACTTCCGGTGAAAAGTTTTTGGTCAAGGTAGTTTTTATACGACCGCAAAAATTAAAAAATTTTTGGTCGTATATTGGTATCACGTTGTTGTCGTCAGCGTCGTCCGAAGACAGATGGTTTCCGGATAATAACTTAGTATAAGTTCATAGAAATCAAAAAAATTTTAACACAAGGTTTATAACCACTAAAGGAAGGTTGGGATTGATTTTGGGGGTTATGGTCCCAACTGTTTAGGAATTAGGGGCCAAAAAGGGGCCCAAATAAGCATTTTTGTAGTTTCCAGACAATAACTTGTGTTAAAGTGTATGAATCTCTCTGAAATTATACCACAAGTTTCCATACTACAAAGGGATGGTTAGGATTGACTTTGGGGGGTTATGGCTCAAACCAATTAGTAATTAGGGGCAAAAAAAGGGGAAAAACAAGGGTTTTTCTGGTTAAAGGACAATTGAGACAATTTAAAAGCAGTGTAAGGGAGGTAATCCAAATCAAAAGAACACTGTTTGATTACCTCCCTTACACTGCTTGTAAATTATGTATTAAAAAATGATGATTGTCTTGAGGTGATTAGCTGTCAATTTATTTTTAGCAGTTACTATTAATTAACATTAATTTTAGCCTGTGTATGTCATTTTATATTTTAAAACTTTTATGATGTTTTTAAATGGGTAACTATGGTTGCAAACTCCATTAGAAATTTGAATTGAGATACTGACCATATCTTGATGGAAAGATTTTTTTGGGGGGAATAAGGGAAAGGGGGGAGGTGAAAAAAATTGGAGGGGGGGGGGACAATTTTTCTCATTTCAGATTTCAGAAATTAAAAGAAAATTTCTTCAAATATTTTTTTTGGAGGTTAATATTCAACAGCATAGTGTATTGCACAAAAGCAAAAAAAACGGGGTAAAATTTTTTTTTTTCAGGGGGGGGGGGGTCAATTCGAAACAGCATAGTGTATTGCACAAAAGCAAAAAATTGAATATAAATTCACATCATATAACCAATTTGAAGTTCTTTGACTACATTTAGTTACAATCCAAATTTATACCTATATCAAGTGTGAATATTGTGTCCATTTTGGCCCCAACTTTTCAGGGTTGGACCTCTGCGGTCGTATCCAGCTGCGCTCAGCGAAGCAATTTATTTTTGAAGTTGAAGCCCAATCAACCTTAAACTTAGTACACATGTTCCCTATGATGTGATCTTTCTTATTTTAAATGTCAAACTTGACTCCAATTTCACGGTCCACTGAACATAGAAAATGAGAGTGCAAGCGGGGCATCCTGAACTATGGACACATTCTTGGTTTTTTTTTTATATTTCATGCAATACAAGCTAACATAGCTAAAAACATTCTAAAATTTCTATACAGTGAAAAGTTGAATCAACACTCTTTAGATTAAAGGGGCACTAGCTACGAAATATGTAAAAAATTAGAATATGATTTCGTTTGGTTCAATTATTAATAAAAGTGAAATAATAATTCGTTTTTAGCAGTCAATTTGGTTCAATTTTGTCAAAATAAGCAAAGAAATATCGCTGATAAATTATTCACTTGCAAGTGAATGATTTGACCTCATTAAATCCGTATTTATGTGACCTTCAATTTAACCCATTAGCTAGAGATTGGTTACGCATGCATAAGTCTTGTTCATCCATTAAAAGGAAAAGAATGTCAAAATTGAAAGTGAAACAAAGGTGAACCATTTCATTGACTGATTCGATCCACAAAAAAATTATTCTTTTACAGGTAAAAACGTTAATTAACTTATTTTTTTACCTATAACATGAAATCAAACAGGCCTATAAAAATCCAATTGCATGAGGTCACAATCTATTTATATTTATGTTTATGTTTATATCCGGTTATGTGACCATCGGCAGTATTTAGAGGTCATCTCGATAGTTAATTAGATGGCATCTAGACTAAAATACACACGAAATTCTGATATATATTATCGAGTACATGCTTTGTTAACTGTTTATTTCAGACTTATTGTAATTTGGATATACGTTTTAGTATGTTATAAATCAAATATGAGAAATTGAGTCAAATCAGTGAACATGAATTTGACAGCTAGTGCCCCTTTAAGTTTATGACACTGTGACATTTTTATATTGTCAGAACAAATATTGTTCTTTAGAAAAATGACTGCCTTTTTTCCTTGCCTTAGACAGTTACAATACATAATATTTGACTTTGTGAAATAATAAAAAATTGTGAAAAAAATAGCTGAAGAGCTTTAAATTAAAAATTAGAATTGCCATAAATAAACTTACGTAAAAAGAGTGACTTGTTCTTTGTGGTTTGATTTCTTAGTACATGATGTATTTCCTATGAAAATAAATAATAAGCTTTGATTTTTGGAAAGTTTGCTATAGCTTCCTATAGCAAAAACTTTCCTAAGGCATCGGCCTCAAACCGGAAGTGACAGACTATCTTACTTTAGGATGTGTGTTCTACTTCTAGATAATGTAGTACTGGAGTTTGACAACTAATTCTAGGAAGATGCTTTTTGAATTTTGAGTTACTTCTATTTTGATTAGCTAACAGTTTGAATTAAAATGTACTGAATGTTCATCGATAATTCAAATAATTCAACTTCATTTTGAAAATGGCTATCACAAACACTATTTCGCGGATCTGCGCTGCGCGGAAAGTAAAATCAATACACATCTACACGAGACAACAGTTTCTACGTTATGCTTTTATCGGTATTCCCCAGACATGCGTGAGATCCATATCAACGGGAGTACTATATATAATCCCGGTTTCAGGGGTTACCTCCCGCCTTTAGGTTGAAGAGAAAATAAATACCGTGTTTAAAATATTTCATGAATGAACATTTTTCGACGCTTACTACAATTTTTACAATGTTTAAAGGGAAAGTCCGTGATTTTTTACTTATCATCTAAATATGTTCATCTTAACATAAAAAACACATTCACAAAGTTTTAAATTTATATTCTTTCTAATAACGGAGAAAATCAAGTATTTTTAACTTTTTTGGTTGACCTACGTCACTGGGTTGTGACGTTTTAACCCGATTTGTTGAATCATGGGAAAAAATTAAATCTGTTAAAGTCTTAATTGCTTATCAGAATTTTACGTAATTTAAAGCGCACAGATGACCGTTGGTCGTAGTTAATAACCACAATATAAGAATGAAAGAAAATGAATATGTGTGTACCGTTTTGTATTGTTTGAATAAAACTTCCTATATGAACTAATCTAAATATAAATATTTTCGAATTGATTTCATAAATTATTGAGATTTTTTCATAAAATATCTATAGAACATTTTTACTGATATTGAACTGAAAATATTTTAAGTTTTATTTACCGTTATAACTTTG